CCTATTGAAAATGGTTAAAATCGGTCCATTATTTCAATTAGCCCCCATAGAACAGAACCCCCCGAAAAGGGCTTCTGAGCTCATAATTATGTTAAATATACAGATATATCGATAAAATACGGCATAACTAAGTTTTATAGAAGTCTTGATAACCCTGCCAAATTTCATAAAGATCGGGCCCCATTTGACCCTAGCTCCCATACAAAGTCCCCTTCAGAAAATTACTTGAATGTCCCAAATTAACTTATAAACACAAATATCGCGATGAAATTCAGCACAATAAAATATTATGTAAATATAAATATATTCACAAAATTTTATCGGGCTTGGTCCATATTTGCCCCCAGCCCCCATATAAAGCCTCTTTCAGAAAATTAGTTTTTCATCCATAAATTGCTTAAATGTATCGGAACAAGGGAATATTGAAGATAAATGCGATATTATGAAAAATAAATCACATTTAATATTCATAACTGGTGTAGGGTATCATATGGTCGGCCACGCCCGACTATACTTTCTTACTTGTTTTTTTGTTTGGTTTGTTTTGTTTCAAGTTTTAGTTTTTTTTTTGTTTATGTTGGTACCAATGTTGGAAAAATTATGTAGCTATCTATATCTTTAATTATTTGTAACTGGGCATTCTATTTTCGGAAAACAAGTTATCCACTCCATTTTCCCTGAGCACAGCCGGAACCATAGGTAGCATATCGTTTTCTTGAAGTTAGAAGTCGTTTTCGTCCGTTACAACTGATCACAGATTTTCACTGTTTTGGCTATATCTCTTATAGTTTCCAAGATAAATGGACTTTTATGTTTTCTCCTATAAATCAATTTTTGGTTAGAAATATAAGAGATCACAGATTTTCACTGTTTTCTCTCTATCTCTTATAGTTTCCAAGATAAATGGACTTTTATGTTTTCACTCAATAAACCGATTTTTGGTTAGAAATATAAGTGATCACAGATTTTCACTGTTTTGGCTCTATCTCTAATAGTTTCCAAGATAAATGGACTTTTATGTTTTCACTCAATAAATCGATTTTTAGTTAGAAATATAAGTGATCACAGATTTTCACTGTTTTGGCTCTATCTCTTATAGTTTCCAAGATAAATGGACTTTTATGTTTTCACTCAATAAATCGATTTTTGGTTAGAAATATAAGTGATCACAGATTTTCACTAAGTGATCACAGATTTTCAATGTTTTGGCTCTATCTCTTATAGTTTCCAAGATAAATGGACTTTTATGTTTTCACTCAATAAATCGATTTTAGTTAGAAATATAAGTGATCACAGATTTTCACTGTATTGGCTCTATCTCTTATAGTTTTCAAGATAAATGAACTTTTATGTTTTCACCTATAAATCGATTTTTGGTTAGAAATATAAGTGATCACAGATTTTCACTGTTTTGGCTCTCTCTCTTATAGTTTCCAAGATAAATGCACTTTAATGTTTTCGCTCAATAAATCGATTTTTAGTTAGAAATATAAGTGATCACGGATTTTCACTGTTTTGGCTCTATCTCTTATAGACTTTTATGTTTTCACTCAATAAATCGATTTTTGGTTAGAAATATAAGTGATCACAGATTTTCACTGTTTTGGCTCTATCTCTTATAGTTTCCAAGATAAATGGACTTTTATGTTTTCACTCAATAAATCGATTTTTAGTTGGAAATATAAGTGATCACAGATTTTCACTGTTTTGGCTCTATCTCTTATAGTTTCCAAGATAAATGTACTTTTATGTTTTCACTCAATAAATCGATTTTTGGTTAGAAATAAAAGTGATCACAGATTTTCACTGTTTTGGCTCTATCTCTTATAGTTTCCAAGATAAATGTACTTTGATGTTTTTACTCAATAAATCGATTTTTAGTTAGAAATATAAGTGATCACAGATTTTCGCTGTTTTGGCTCTATCTCTCAATAAATCAATTTTTGGAAATATAAGTGATCACAGATTTCAACAGTTTTGGCCCTATCTCTTATTGCTTTCAAGATAAATGGATTTTTAAGTTTTCGCTGAATAAATCGATTTTTTGTGAGAAATATAAGTGATCACAGATTTTCACTGTTTTGGTTCTATCTCTTATAGTTTCCAAGATAAATGGTCTTTTACGTTTTCACTCAATAAATCAATTTTTGGAAATATAAGTGATCACAGATTTCAACAGTTTTGGCCCTATCTCTTGTAGCTATCAAGATAAATGGACTTTTATGTTTTCACTCAATAAATCGACTTTTTGTGAGAAATATAAGTGATCACATATTTTCACTGTTTTGGCCCTATCTCTTATAGTTTACAAGATAAATGGATTTTTATGTTTTCACTGAATAAATCGATTTTTGTGAGAAATATAAGTGATCACAGATTTTCACTGTTTTGGCTCTATCTCTTATAGTTTCCAAGATAAATGGATATATATGTGATTTTCACTGCTTTGGCTCTATCTCTTATAGTTTCCAAGATAAATGGACTTTTATGTTTTCACTGAATAGATCGATTTTTGGTTACAAATATAAGTGATCACAGATTTTCACTGTTTTGGCTCTATCTCTTTTAGTTTTCAAGATAATTGGACTTTTATGTTTTCACTCAACAAATCGACTTTTTGTTTGGAAATATAAGTGATCACATCTTTTTACTGTTTTGTATCTATCTCTTATAGTTTCCAAGATAAATGGACCTTTATGTTTTCACTCAATAAATCAGTTTTTGGTTAGAAATATAAGTGATCCCAGATTTTCACTGTTTTGGGTCTATATCTTATAGTTTCCAAGATAAATGGACTTTTGTGTTTTCACTCAACAAATCGGTGTGGTGGTTTTTCATAAATTTTCAATCAATAATGGTTGCTTCTAGTCTCAATATTACAGGAAATTGAAAAAATATCAGTTGCAGAACAAAAATGTACCTAATGAAGAACGAAAAAGTACAAAAAATTACCCTTTTATTGGTTCTCATTTACCCCGGGCTCTTATTTTCATGTTTTTAGGTTCAATATTATAAAAAACACAAAAGGTACCAGTTAAAGAACGAAAAGGAACAAAAAAGAACCCATTCATGTGTTCTCATTTACTCCGGGGGGTTACTCTCTATTGCGATGCGAAAGCAAGTTCGATGCGAAAGGTAAATGCGATAAGAGTATAATTTGGTACTCTGCATCGTCTACGCAAGCGCTTTCGGAAAATAAGTTGAAAATGAAGCAACACTGGCACAACAAAATAAACAATAGCGAAGAATGACAAAATGAAATGTCAAAACTTGTAAATAAAAACATTTTAAACTAATTTTTTGTGCAGTACGCGTTTTTTGTTAAAAATATAATAACATAAAATAAATTGTAATGGATTCGGTGGCGTTATGGTTTGAGGAAGAAAATGAACATGTGGAACGTATTACAAGGAGAATTTTGAGAGATAGATCGGATATACTCTCCCTAAATGACCAAAGGTATGAAAATAGGAGTACGTATCATGTGAAAAATGTTTTTAAACATTCCTTTTTTATAGTTTTATACAAAACTTTAGACTAAATAAAGATGCGTTTATGTATGTATTAAACGCTATTCAACACGACCTCATCGTTCCAAAGAGATCCACAGCAATTCCAACCGCAATAAAAGTTGCCGCTGCTTTGAAATTGCTTGGGCAAGGTGGATATCAACACCAAATTGGCCAAGACCATCTCTTAGGATTATCGCAGCAATCTATGTCGCGTTGCTTACAAGAAGTTTGCATGGTGATTGAGCGAATACTCTGTCCCAAGCACATCAAATTTGAGGTTACTGCTGAAGAGGAAAACGAAATTAAAAGAGGATTTTTACATACATGTGGCATTCCTGGGGTGATTGGAGCAGTGGATGGTACCCATATACAAATGATTCGACCAGCCAGGAACGAGCACTTATACTTCAACAGAAAATTAAAGCACAGTATGAACGCTATGGTGGTATGTGAATGTTTATGTTTGCATTTGCCATTAAATCTTACTTTGATATTAAATTTTTAGATATGTGATCACAAAATGATAATAAGATTTATTGATTGCCGATACGGTGGTGCAAGCCATGACTCACATGTTTGGGCCCTTTCTAATGCAAAGCAAAAATTAAAAGAACGTTTCGAAAGAGGGGAAAAGGGATTTTGGCTGATTGGTAATTAACTTAAAATAATTTTAAAATTTTTTTCTTACTTATTTTTTAATTTTCTAAAAGGCGATTCGGGCTACCCCTTGGAACCCTGGCTACTTACTCCATACAGAAACGCAACGGAAAACTCGTCCGAAGCTTTTTATAATAAACAGTTTTGCAAAGGAAGGTCTATAATTGAGAGAGTGTTTGGTGTTTTAAAAGGCAGATTTCGGTGCCTGTTAGCAGCCAGAGAGTTGCATTACGCACCGGAAAGAGTGGTTCAAATAATGAACGTTTGCTGTGCCCTGCACAATATTTGTTCTAATTTTAATGTACAACTACCAATACACGAAATTGCTGAGACAGAAAGTCTAAATGAAATTGATATGTCTCTTAATAGCAATACGAACAACGATGGCCAAACAACTATTGCTAAGGAAATAAGGAATAATATTAGAAACAGTTTGATTTTAAGAACATAACTTTATGAAAAAATAAAAACTTAAATAAAAATATTTTTTTATTTTAAATAAAAGCAGTTATGTTTATTTTTATTTTAATTACTAACTATTTTTTAAACTAAAAAAGGTAATTCATTCATATTCAAAAAGACTGCAAAATACATATATTCAATTGCAAAAAATTTATTAAAAAAATTAGTATACTACATAAAATAAGGTAAAAACGATTTATTAATTAATTACTCAAAGAGTATACGTTATTTCGTTTAAGAAAATCATGTAGTTGATGATACTTTAGTTTCAATTTCTGTTATAACTTGGTTATTTTTGATAGTAAAAGTTTCTACAAATCGAAAAAAAAAACAAATATGTATAAGGAATTCATTTAATTGTAGTGTTAATAAAAACTTATAATGTAAAGTTTTAAAGCTTCTTTATGGCGATTTTGAGATCTTTAACTTCAGTACAAATCTCATTAGACAAAAAATAACGATTAACATAAAAATAACGAAATTATAAAATACAAAAGTCGACTGATATGTACATACATATATAAATACATATGTAAAAATATCACATCGGTTTTCCTATTTCTAATTCTAAAATTTTCTTTTTTAATTCTAGCTTTTCTATTTGCGTTTTTTGTTTTTGGAGCTTGTATTCTTTTTTAAATTCAAATTTTTTTTTGCAAAATGTTAGTTTTCTTTCCTTTAATTCAACTTTTTTTCTATTATATCTTACTAATTCTTTCAAGGAATCCCGAACATCGCCCAAAACTTTAGTGGATTCATTGTGAAATATTCCTTGGTTTTCTACTTGAGTTTTTAGCAGAATATCACGGTCGTTTTGTTTTGACAGCCGCGAACGTTTGGCTGTCTTAAAACTGTCATCCAAACAGCTACGTTTGTCAGCGGGCGCTGATTCACTTAAACTGTAATTTTCATTTTGCGAAGATAATAAAACTTCTTCTGCAGGCTCTTTGTTTGCTGAAACATCGTGACTAACGTTACTACTTGTGCCAAAGTATGTTGATGTTGCCCGTCCATTGACGGCTTCTTCCATTTGAAGAAGATTTATGATTTGTTCCTCCATAGAAGAAAGTGGGCAATATTGTGAGACACCACCACCCGTGCTGGAAATGCTAATTTTATTCTTGCGCATCTTAACCTTCGTGTGGGTTTTTAGGTCAGACCAAACCTATATGCACATGTGCACAAATATTCATATTAATACTGTGTTAGTTTCACGTTTTATATAAAAATATCATAATACATTACTTTTTTCCAACCAGCTACATCCCTTACAGGAGGTCCATTAGAATTAAGGTCGTCTGCCAATTTTGTCCACAAATTGTTGGCGCGTTGTTTGGCATTTCCACACTGCAACTGTCCCTTTGCCAAATCGCTATGTTGCTCCATAAAATCAACTAGGATTTCGAACTGGCGTTGCTGAGTCTGCAACTTTTTCGGCTTTTCCCTAAAAAATAACAATTTAGATATAAATATAAACATTTATTTGTGCTTACTTACATGATTCGTTTCCTTTGCGTTTGATATTTTGTAAGCGCAAGTTATTTGAGCTTTACGAACGATTTTGACATACGCTTTCGAATTACAGAATGCGGTGATGCCAGATTTGCGAATTAGATGCGAATCAGATGCGAAAGGAAAATACGAAAACGCAATAAAGGGTACCAATTATTCAATTGCGTACCATTTTTCTTTCGCATCGCAATAGAGAGTAACCCCCCCGGTCTCTACATGCTTAATTTCATGTTTCTAGGTTCAATATTATAGAAAACTCAAAAAGTGCCTTTTCTCACTTATTTCGGGGTCTACATGCTTAATTTCATGTTTCTAGGTTAAATATTATAGAAAACTCATAAAGTACTAGTTAAAGAACGAAAGTGTACCAAAAAATACCCTTTTATGGATTCTCATATACTCCGGTCTCCACATGATTAATTTGATGTTTCTAGGTTCAATATTACAGGAAATTCAAAAAGTACATTGTGAAGAACGAAAAAGTACCAAAGAGTCCCCTTTTATTGGTTCTCACTTACATGATGCACTACATGTTTAATTTCACTTTTCTAGGTTTAATATTATAGAAAATTCAAAAATTACCCTTTAAAGATCGAAAAAGTACCAAAAAGTGCCTTTTAATGGTTCACATTAACTCCAGACTCCAAATGCTTAATATCATGTTTCTAGGATCATGTTAAAAAAGCACAAAAAGTACCAGTTAAAAAACGAAAAAGTACCAAAAAATAGTCCTTTGTACCGGAGTTCCAAGTAACATTCCATTGGTATATTTAGTGTTACTAAATCTATCATTTTCTCCAAATTTATTAAAATTGGACCAGTGAGTTTGAATAAAATCAAATTTCCCGTTTTTCCCCTTTTTGGTATTTTTTTTTCTCCCTATTGAAGTAATAAACATTTCATTACAAAAAGTTGCAATATCGTAGTGGGTGCCCACCATTAAGTATTCATTGACATGTACAAATCAATACATAGGAAACAATGTTTTATAAAAAAAGTACCAAAAATATGTACAATTTTCACCCCTTAAACATCCGAATATCCAAAAAGTACTAAATACATATTTTTATTTTTTCGTCAAGTTATAGAGGAGTTAAAAATATTGTTTGAATTTTCACTGGTTTAAACGATACATGGGGTGCAAAAAAAGTACAAAAATACAGTTTTTACCCCGTTTATTCCCTAAAGAGACCGAATTTGAAAAAAGTACCAGACACCTGTCCGCTTATTTTTTAAATTAACGACGATAAGCTTTAAACTGTTTTTGTATCTTTTCTAGTTTAGGAGATATGAGGTTACCGAATTTACCTTAGAGGCGGGGGACTAACCACCTGTCCAAATTTCAGGTCTTTAGCTTCAACCGTTTAGGCTGTGCGGTGATGAATCAGTCAGTCAGTAACATTAGAATTTTATATATATAGATAAAGATAATACCGATTTATGGTGGGTATTCAACCAATATTTTTGCGAGCTACAAATATCATCACAATCACATAACACCCTCTCCACTATAGTAGTGCAGGGTGTAAATAGGGCGCTACGTACGAAGTCCCCTATGGGGATTTAGTTCATTGGGGACTTCGTTCGTAGCTCTTGTAAATATTAGTCTTTTTTTTTTCTTTTTCAATAACATATCCAAAAAGTTTTAACACAACCAAAGTGTAATTTTTTTAGGAGATCGAGATTAGGATCTGACATTAGAAATTCTCATCGCATCAGGTTTACAAGATCAGGTCGTTGTAGTAATCACAATCGTGTGTAGATCGAAACCAAAATTCTTTATTTATATATAAAAATGCTCTCTTTAGACCGAATGTCGAATCATTTCTCTTCTCGGATCATATTCATAAGCTTGTCTTAGCCAAGTCCTAATAAGCCTACAAGTGGATAAGAATATAACTTCTCTGTTTGCCTGAATAGTTCACTAAGATTGCCAAGTCTTTATGGGAAACAGATCCATACACTAAAGAGCGATAATATACTGGATATAATAACTTATAGGAACATGGATAGAGTTTATTGAATGGTTCAATATACTAAGGGCGATAATTAAAACCAGCATTGCCTAAAAGTTGTATGTGTAAGAAATATCATTAAACCACAACTTCATTAATAATCAAGCTTTGAAATCCAAATGAGCCAACACAATTCTTTTATGGTGTTTATTGTTTTGGAAAATTTGATGACCAGATTTCTTTCAACTTCAAAATTTTACTACGCCATTTTTAACACTATTGAGAACTTTACAATTAAATAGCTATTCCTTTAAAATCCTTGTACGATTCTTATGTTTAACACTAAGCCTTTTATCTTCATACTTATTTTGCAATTTCATCTTAATTAAGCCAACATCAAAGTCATGCTTGAATTCCGACAATTATAATAAGCTTATGTTTGCTTTCTGAGTTTCCTACAGGATACCCTTATGTTTCAAAATGTTTTTTTCTTCGAACTAAACATATGAGGACTTTACTAACACGAAAATAGTACATGTGTAAGAGTTTATTGGACAGAATATATCCTTGACATTTATTTACTTGAATAAAACTTTTCAAAGAAAAAAAAATCTATCTTAAAGGTAGTAAATTTTCGTTTTCTTCAATTACTTTGAACCCTTTTCAACTCGGCTATTAACACTAAATCCGTAAAATAACAACAAAAAGAGAAAATAAATCCGGCAGGTTTATTATTCCACACCATCTTTACAACTAGAATAAATCTTCAAACATTTTTTCGATAGAATCGTATTTCTATTGAAAAATGAATATACCAACAACAGCAAAGCAAAGGGCTCCAAGAACACATATGGTGTGACTTAAAGGATTTACTTAAAAGGAAAGAATATGGGTCTATCTAAATATTTATGTGCATATGTATGTGTATGTTTTATGAAATATACATGTACAAAGAAATGAAATAAAAAAGATGTATGTATGTAGATAAATCTTGAGATGAAAAATTAAAAGGATGCACACTTCATCACAAACAAAACACTATATAGAATAGATGGGTTTTGCAAATGAAAAAGGGGTGCTAGGATAGAGTTGGTAATAAAATACTATATGAAAAACTATGACGACCAACAGTCTAACCGACTGGCTGACCACACCACACACAGTGACTAAATGCTGGTTAGAAATTTGCTTTTACCCGTTCAGTTTTGTATCATATTTTTTTATTTAAAGCGCCATGTGTCAATGCCAAGATTTACTATGGTTTGATTAAGCAATGGTCAGTCACACTTAAAAGATGTTTATTCTTTACCACTCACACTCACATCCCCACATACATACATACATACACTTACTTAAATGAATTTATTGTATGGGATTTTGTTGTAAGGATACAAATTTTTACTGTTGTTGTTGTTGTTTTTTTTTTTTTTTTTTTTTTTTTTTGTAAAGATTTCAATATATCAGTATGAAAAACTGGACCGGATATTGACCTGCTAATAAATTATCAAACAAATAATCCATTAATTTAATACTTTTACATATTTTTTTGTTGTTATTTATATATATTGTTGCTATTGTTGTATTTTCAACGGTCAATTTTTTTCCTCTTGTCACACATTTATTTTCCAGTGTAATGTTTGCTTTTGTTGGCCGTATTTAAATCAGTCCGGCCACATTTGCTCAGCAGTAATAGAACGGGACTTTTGTTTAAGTGCACTAGATATTATAGGTTTAGAAGGTTGACTATGGATTCAAAATATTTAAAAGATAATTCTAATTTTGCATATGCTAATTATTTCATCCAACTGATAATAAAAGCAGTATTATAGTTAGGGCAACGGATCGGACGAGCCTCCAAGATAGAGGAATTAAAGACAGAAAAAAACTGTTGTGGTAACAGCCTTATATAGTGATAAGAAATACAGTTTCCTTGAAGAAATCCTAACAATTTTCTACACAGAAGGAAAAGGAAATAAATATACACGCCAAATTGACACCAAAGAGTTTATAATTTTTCAAGAACATCCGTTGTTAAAGTATATACATACGTACGACAACACTATGCAATGTTGACAACATTGCAACAAACAGTTTGGTGTCAATTTGGTACCAGACGTGTATATTTCTTTTTCCCTCTGTGTACTTAGTACTTGCTTTGGATGTTATATTCGGAATAATATATGTATATCTAATATTGATGAAATTCTAGTAATAAAAAAGTATTCTAATTATTCACTGTAATCTCCACATGCTCTACATTCATCTGAAATTGCTCTACTTAGGTACATCATAATAACCTCGTACTTGCCCATTCTTAGAAGGCCGTTTGTCCTGCTCTCGTTAGAGTTACCCCACACTTGGTTATACCCAAAATTTCATTATTCCAACTGATCCTATGCAATTCTCGCCCTCATATTTAAATTCAGTCCTCTTTCTCAAGTTACCTCTCCCTTTCAACATTATAGCTGATTCGTTTTTTCAATGCTGATTATTTCAGAGTAGCATGGTACCTTCATGATACAATACTTACCTCTAGAAAAGTATTCAGTAAAAGTTCACTTATAATCCAATATCCTATATTATATGGTTTTCTGTCTGGAAGATAGTGTTGTACTTAAGGAGTGAGAGAGTCGAATTATACTCTGTTTCTAACAGAAAAACAGATTTCCGTGTTTATCGATATATTCAATATCACTTCTACCCAAGTAATTTGGATCCCTTTCCCGTTAGGAGTGTTACGATAAGTCGACTCCTGGTTATGGTTATTCTGATTCTCTTAATCGAGGCTACCCAGAGTAAAGAGGACTAAATTTCCTCTTGTGGTGCATCTCGCAGCATATCCATGTATTCCTCAGCATGTAATTGATCGGTTAGTTAGTTAGTTAGTTTGTTTGTTAGTTAGTTAGTTAGTTAGTTAGTTAGTTAGTTAGTTAGTTAGTTAGTTAGTTAGTTAGTTAGTTAGTTAGTTAGTTAGTTAGCTAGTTAGTTAGTTAGTTAGTTAGTTAGTTAGTTAGTTAGTTAGTTAGTTAGTTAGTTAGTTAGTTAGTTAGTTAGTTAGTTAGTTAGTTAGTTAGTTAGTTAGTTAGTTAGTTAGTTAGTTAGTTAGTTAGTTAGTTAGTTAGTTAGTTAGTTAGTTAGTTAGTTAGTTAGTTAGTTAGTTAGTTAGTTAGTTAGTTAGTTAGTTAGTTCGTTCGTTCGTTCGTTAGTTAGTTCGTTCGTTAGT